TAAAAAAAAAAAGAGAATATATATATTTTAAAGTTCATGTTCAGTTATTTCTTCATGAGAGAGAATGAAATAAACAGACAGACATGCACCCCAACAGGGTCTTCATGCCACAATCCAGCCCCAACCTCAACCAGGCAGGGTCACAGGCATGCACATGTACAGGGAGACCTTGGGACATGAACTTGTGACCTTTCCCTGTTTGCCAAGAATACTCTCTTGTTTAGTCATTGTTTTTCTAGTGAGCTAGGTGTATCAAACTTTTTTTTTTTCCTTTCTTTTAGTTTTTGCTTAGGGCATGTGTACTCACCAGAGAGAAATGGAGAGACAGAGGAAAATGAGAAATCACCCCTCCATCCCCATAGGGGATGGCCGTAGTGAAATCCCTTCTTCTCCATTCTCCTCTTGGAATTTTGGGAATGAATGCACAAGTGCCCAGTGTGTTTTTCAAGCTGCCAGGTTCAGGACTCAAACCGTGGTTGGCCACATGGGATCTAGCCCTTAACCACTATATCACTGGTTGACCCTGGATCAGACTTTTCTCGGAGCCCTATTTATTTATTTATTTATTTATTTATTTATTTAATCTACAGCTATTGGGGGATCTGATTTGGAGATTCCTGCAGTACCTTGTCTGGGATAAATGAGAGGCAATTAGGAAATCCATCGACTTCATTGCCTTTGTGTTTGTCATATCTCAAGTCTCTATGTCACCTTCATTCTGCTTTCTACCTTTCAGAGTCTTCCTATATTTGTGGTTACATTATAAGCAGGGATTTTTAGTCATAAGTCGCTGTTTCATCTTAGTGGAAACATTGGATTGATTTTTAGTCCAATTAAATATTGAGTAATTCAAAACATTAAAAACATTGATTTTATTCTTACAAATGTCAGTGACTTATAAATGTACTGATATGCATCTCTTTGTGCCTGCTAAACATTTTCTCTTTAATAGCTGTTCTCAATGCTCATGCCAAATTGAGACTGTTATATTGAGAATAATGCCACAGTAGGACAGGCCCATACATGAGGGATAGTTGACAGTTATCACACGTCATATGAGCTAGATAAATTAAGCCTAGAGCAGTCAGACCAAGGAGAGGGCATAGGTACCAAATAGAGTCAGCTTGAATTCCCAGTTTGGAACCAAATCAGTACAGAAAGTATGTCTGAGTTTACACATGGAGAGAGGTATCTGACTGGAGCAGAGGGTGATGGGGCAAAAAAAGCTTTTATTAGTTATTACCTTCCTCTGCCAACCTACCTCCCACCTAAATGCTTCTACTGTTAGGAATGTATTCTGTAGCAAGTGACTTAGTGGGCAGTTTTTTTTTTCCTTGAAGCAAGAAGGGATATAGGTGGTTCTGTGATGTCATCAGGGACCCAGTCCTTTTCTCTCTCTCACTGTGTCTTCTTCAGTGAGTAGGCCTTCAGCCTCACACTTGTCTAATGATTTCAGGGTGGCTTCTGTGCCACCAGACAGCATGTCCAATTTCTAGGCAGGAATGTAAAGGGGATGCAGTCATACCTTAGTAGGGGAGCAAAAACTTTCCCAGAAAGCTTCATCTTCTGCGTTGTGTCATTAGCCAACACAGCTGCAAGGGAGTCAGGAGCACTGACTGCAGGATGTTGGCTCATTGCTCAGAGCCTACCTCACTGGACCATTACAGTTTTTTTTCTAGAAGGTAACATATGCATGCTTACCTTTAGTTCTTTAAGAGGAAGAAAAATAGAATCTCAAAAAAAGAAAAAAAAAATACATCAGAGACTCCCTCTTTGAAAGTCTTATCTTTTGTACATGCCTCGTCCAGGCTTCTGATTTTTCTGCCTTTGCATCACTCCTTGGTGTTTGTGGAAGTAGTGAAAGGGACTTACATGTGAGAAATGTTTGGGACAACTGAATTTTGAATAATCTAGATTTTACAGAAATAACAACTGATGCAGAATTGTAATTCTCACAGGATGGGGCCTGTTTCCTAAGGAAACTTCAAATCTCTTGAGCCTTCTCAAACCCTCACATTTATCCTGAGATTTCTATTTACCCTGTTTGGAGCAAGATGAAAATTCCAGAAGTGAAATGAGAATTGTTTCTGATGGAAGTGTGATCAGGCATATGCATGTAGAGAAAAGGCAGGAAAAAGGTTGCATACCAATACAGAAAAACATTTATTCTTTTACAGGCCACTGAAAAAGGCTCCAATAGACATATAGCCATTAATACATCATTTAAACCCAAAAGTTTATATCACATTTTTTAGTTGAGATGTATAGATATGACTTATTATATTGATATTTGCACTATACATTACTTGAACTTTGATAGACTAGTACATTTTATTAATACCATGTAGTTTTAAGACCAGTGAATCTTTTTATTCTCTTTTTATTTTTCTCTCATAACCACACTAGACTCTGCTCTAGACCAAAGTCCTTAGGTATTGGGCATACTGTTTTCTTCTATTCCTTCTCTTTGTGGATACATGCAAACAGTAAATTGAAGTTGACAGGTGTTTTATGATTAATGTAAATAATGTTTATACATGTTTCCTTATTACTAGATCTGGCAAGGTTATGGAGACTGATATTTATTCAACAGTATTGATAGGCCTTTGTATGCGTGTATATCTTTTATTACCAGTAAAACTTTGAAAACCCTTCTGTGTATCATTATGATGTTGCCATAGCAACATGGTTGCCAAAATAAAGTGCATTTTTTTCCTGCTTTGTCTTTTTTTAAAGGTATCGTTTCACCCCTCCCCCTGCAAGCTTTTTGATCAGCAGTGTCGAGTTTCAGACCCAGTCAGTCATTATTATTTCTACCATCTTTCCACCTTGAATTTGTCTTTCCTTAAGCTCATTATTTATCATTATAACAAATAAAGAACAATTTTTACTCATTATATATAAATCTGTAATTCCTAGTGGGAATCATAAGAATGAATTAGAATGAAGTGGTGCGTGATATGGCACAAATAGAATAGGCTTTGCTATAACCTAGTTGCTTCGTGACTTTGTCTCTTTATTTTTCTCTGCCTTGGCTTCTTTATCTGTAAAATAGTCAGAGAAAAAAGCTCCTTCACAGGATGATATATTACTCAGTGCCTGGTAGGAATTCAGTTATGTTTCACTTCCTTCACCTTCCTTTCTTTCCCTTTCCGTGTTTGTTCATTAAGGTTAAAAGTACGCTATTTCCCACATAGATATCATCGTATTTCCATCTACCTAGATATTGACCAGTGTCACAAGGGAAGTTTTAGGTCTGGGAAGTTTCCTGATCTCAGCTCTATGACAATTAATCTCCGTTTAATTTGCATTTGAAAATGCCTTGCTTGAACTTTGATTAGTCCACAGCTAGTGTTTCTGCTCAGTAGAATATGCTTTTTTGAGGGAAAGCATAACTATGGAGTTTAACTATTGCTTTTATTTATATTCCCCTTTTTCTTTCCAAAAGGGATATGAGATGGTTTTGAAGGACATAAGAAAATAGGGTACCAGCAGATGGTGTAATGGTTATGTCACTGGACTACCTCATAGTCAACCACTGTTCCAGGGGAGATTAAATCTTTTCTTTTTTTTTGGAGAGGTTTTTGCTACAGGGCACATGCACTCGCCAGAGAGACAGAAAGAGAGAGAGAGAGAGACAGAGACAGAAAGCAAGAAATCACCCTTCAGGGGGGATGGCCATGCTGCAGTCCCTTCTCCTCCATTCTCTTGGGATCTTGGGCATGCATGCACATGCGACCTGCGTGAGTTTAAGCCACTGGGTCTGGGTCTTGAACTGCGGTCGACTACATGGGAGTTTAGCGACATAGCCATTACGCTAATTGATGGTCTCATAAATCTTATATTATTTTGTATCCCCCTTCTTTACATACACTCTATCCTCCCTGACCTTTGTCCAGTATATAGTAGATGTCTAACATGTTTATTGTTAATAAATGTTGATTGAGGTTTGAAGAAGGTATTTAGTAAGGAAGGCTTGTGAGTTACAGATTTAATTTGTATTCCATAAACCAAATCTCCTAAGAAGGCAGTTTCTAGATTCACATAATTTAATTGAGACTCAAACCTTTGGGTCAATCTGTGGCGCATCTGTAATAATCTAGAAAACCAAGTATCTTTGTAAAAGATCAGAATCAAGATCAGAATCAAGAGACTGTATCTTGACACATGTCCTTCCCAGAGGTATTTAAAACAGATAATCTTTATTAAGAGAAAGGATGTCAAGAAGTAGTATTCTCTGTTCGTACAGCTTATTATAAGATGATTATAAAATATATAGTCCAAATTGGGGACTTTTTAAGAGTAAAAAGGGGTACTGTCAATGGCTATTCTTTTTTTTTTTTTTTTTGGAGAGATTTTCACTGTAGGGCGCGTGCGCTCGCCAGACAGACAGAGAGAGACATAGAGACAGAAAGCGAGAAATCACCCCCCAGGGGGGATGGTCACGCCGCAGTCCCTTCTCCTCCATTCTCCTCTCGGGATCTTGGGCACGCACACACACGCGCCCGGCGTGAGTTTTAAGCCACCGGGTCCGGGACACGAACCGCGGTCGACTACGTAGGAGTCCAGCGACATAGCCATTACGCTAACTGCTGGTTCCCAATGGTTATTCTTGAACTATAACTCAAACTGGAATGTCCTAGAACTTACAATTAATGTTAAGGTGACTACTAGTCTATGTATGTTTATAATTTCAGTATAGATTGGAGTTGGTATGAAACTCTCTGAGGCTGTTTTTATTTCAGTATGTTTGCATGTTTTTCCCCCTTGCCGAAATAAACTACCCATTTCGTTTCTTTTGTTGTGATTAAATTGTTTTTATTCTCCAAGATCCTTCTTTTTCATGATGTTACCTCCAGTTATTCCAGCCCACATGCTCTCTTTTTTCTATATCATATAACACTTATATTTTTAAACAAGCGGTTTAGAAGTTGAGTATATACCATCTTGTCTGGCCTTTTGTTGCTGTCTATATTTTAAGTCTTATTTTTTTTTTCCTTTTCCCCCTGTTCAGCCATCTCATATTAGAGGAGGTCATCAAAAAACCCTCTTTCTTCAGATCATGGCAATTTTAAGCTATTCTGTAAGCATAGCCACTAAAATCTATTATCAGGAGAAAATGTGGGAGTCAAGCAGGAAATCTTGTCTTTTTTAATATGTCAAAATCTTTAAGAACAAAACTTGTGTCTTTATCTTCCCTTGTATTGCTCATTAGACCTAGCATGGTGGTGGGTGCATGGTAGGTGTTCCATAATTTGTTCAGTGATTGAAATACATGGAATAAATCCTGAAGCAAGATTTTCATTACATTTCATTTTGACTTTTACCACTGTGCTTAACATAGGAATGTTTACACACCTCCTGGAAGGTACTCCAGCCTATGCATTATTCTGTATTAAAAAATGATTTCTGTGTCAAGAAAAGAGAAATGGAAATGCTGTATCTCTTGCTGCCACCTCTGTTTTCCATTAACAGTAAATGCATGCCTATAGATGGCTCTCTGCCTTGAATTGCATCATTTACACTGGTTTTAATATGCCCCCTGGCATTTCAGTTTCTGTTCTCAGCATGCGACCTCATTGTGCTGAATCCTCTAATATTTGTACTCAGATGAATGCCTAGAGAGCTGTGAAAGGTAGTTCTTGCTTTGCTGCAATGTGGTTTCAGATGAATGTCAATGACACTAGGAAGTGTATCATTCAAATATAATTTAAAAGACTGAATTGTAATAATTTCCTGGAATTTATTTCCTATTTTTCTATTAGTGGGCATGCATTTCTGTATTGAGTTTTGTCACCTGTATATGATCACTCCTGGGTTTTGTCATTGCCTGCCTTCAGAAAAGGGAATATCTTACCTGCTGCCAGCCAACCCGCACTTTGTGGAATGCCTGTGCCTCAGCTTAGACAGGGAAGCAAAGAGAGAGAGAGAGAGAGAGAGGACCTGGAAAAATTATTTATTGACACTTTCCTTGTACTTTCCTTGGGAGTGGACTGTGACAGGAGGCAGGAAGAAGGGAAAGGCATATTTAAATGTGAATTTGTTTTTTAGTTAATCAAGGCTCAGAAGAGGAAAAAAATTTTGCTCTGTAATAGATACATATTTTATTATGTTCATAATTACATAGATACCCTTAAAAGCACTTTTAACATTTTTTATCTTCAGGATCTTTTGTGTTTAAAAGACTCATATTGTCATGGGATAAAAGTGGAAAAAATAAATCTTTATCGAGAACGTTTTTCAAATTGTTGACATTAGTTATATTAGTAAAATAGTACATCATTTTTCTTTCAGAGAATGTAATTTCATATTTAGAAAACCGTGTTCATAAATATTATGGATCATTTTTTAGATATTTAGAATTCTGAATTCTCTATTGAAAACATATTTGAATGGTTAATTTATATGTTCTCATGTACATATTGATGAAAGTCCTTTGATAATTGCTCAGGGGAGAGAAATCGAGCAGAAACTATAATACTATAATACTACAGTTGTTGTAATTTGAAATAATTTTTACCTCTCAGTAATTAAAAAAATTAAAAATGGGACATAATTATTGTATCAACATACAGGGTAGCAGGGTAATCATTCTGTACCTGCCCCTGCTATTTGAAAAAAATTACATAAAGATTTATGTTAATTCATTCAGACATTCATTTATTCATGAACAACTCATCATTCTTTAATTTTTTCCAGACAGTATATTGCTATGATTTGAATGTGTCTCCCCAAAATTCATGGATTAAAATGTGCTGATCCATTGTAACAGTGTTAAGAGGGGAGAGATTTAATCCGACTTATGGTATTGAAAGGTAGAACCTTTGGAAAGTGATTAGGCGTCAGGGTGGGACCAGATGAATGTCAATGACACTAGGAAGTGTATCATTCAAATATAATTTAAAGGCTGAATTGTAATAATGGACTTCTGGTGGGTTTGTAGGAAGAAGGAATGAGACGGAGAGAGAGACATGATCTGCTCAGGCTTCAGCCCGCCACTGTGTTATCCACTGGCAATAAGACCCTGACCAGATGCAGTCCCTGGGCATTGGATCTCCAAACCTTGAGCTGCATAGACCTCTACTTTTATAAATTATGCAGACTCGGTCATTCTGTTATTAGCAACAGAATGGACTAGGACGTATATCTTGAGGAAGACATTTGAATAGTCATCTCTATATATTTTATATTTATATGTTTCTATCACTGTTATTTTGACAAATTCAAGGGAGTTGTTTAGTTCATATTCTGTATTAATACGCAGATGAAATCATGATACAGGGAATATGATATACTACGTCAGAAATGGTAAGAACCCCTTTTCAATATGTAACTCTATCTAATATGTGATTAATTCATGTAACATTTCACTGCATCTAATGAAACTATCCAGTTGAATGTAATTGCATAAGAGGTGGTCAGCGAAGATAAAAGAGTAGGAGTAAGAACAGAATTGGGTTAGAGAAGGGACAAAAAAGTCAAACAAGGTTATTGGTTAACACTTCTGGTAAAAAAGCAAATGTACAGTTGGAAATCATGATAGTATTTATGACCAATCTTATCAGCAAAATGTAGTTTAGACCCAAGCTTAAACTGAAAGTAGAACATTGCCAACCGAAAAAACGAACACAAATTCACATTCTCTCACCGAGCCATGTATAAGTCTATGACTTAAGTTTCTTTCACTTTTTTTAATAACTTTATTTTTGCAAAATAAATAATTGGATGGAATGAAGTGAGAGGCTTTCTTCTGATATAAATCTGGCACAGAGGGAGAAACAGAAATAAAAGGATGGAAAGTGCCTGTTAGACATGGCCAGCACATTTTGGGGAGTGCTAATCCAAGGGGATAGCTTACTAAACCTGCCATGTTCTATCGTTGCTTTTTTTTTTTTTTCGGAGAAGTTTTTAGCTATAGGGCATGCACGCTCGCCAGAAAGACAGAGACAGAGAGACAGAATGCAAGAAATCACCCCCCAGGGGGAGGGGGTGGCCACACCACAATCCCTTCTCCTCCATTCTCCTCTTGGGATCTTGGGCATGCACACACACGCGCCCAGTGTGAGTTTAAACCATCGGGTCTGGGACTCGAACCGCGGTTCAACTACGTTGGGAGTCCAGCGACATAGCCATTACACTTAACTGCTGGTCCCTTGTTGCTTTTCTTTTGCTTATGTTTGTTCTTGTTTTCTAACTTGTTGCTTTTAGCCCTTCTTCATTTTTAAAGTTGTCTATTAAAACCAGAATTTTCTTGGACTATTTGTCATCATCGTTCTTCTGTGTCAGACTTTGTTCAGTGTTGTTAGGTCCTTCTCATGAGCATCACATTCCAAACACAAGCCTGTCTTTGTGTCTTTTTTTTAAACTCAGTAAAAAACAAATTAAAATATGAACTGAAGAACAAAACATATCAAACGTGCCTTTGAAAAGTTAACTTTACCATAACCTATTTTATAGCTCTGACTTTCTAAAAGAGAAAGTTTTTTTCTTGCAAATGCTAAATCATGACATTTTTGTTAATAATCCTGTTTTCTCTGGCTAGATATTTTTTCATTCATAGGCTTTTATCTAGGAGTAGGTTATAGTTTTCCCCATTTCAGAAGAAAGTTAGCTACTGAAGTAAAACTCAGAATCGTCACTGAGTTCACAGGCACTGATTGAGGACCTCACGTACAACCGTAATATTGGCCTGGTGTTTTATGCTACTGTGGGAGAGAAGACTACAACTAGTGTCTTTTCTGGGATTGATAGCAAGACTTGTGATTAAAAAAAAAAGTGATATTTCTCATCATTATAAAGTCTATTTTATTTGTTGCAATTAAAAAGAAAAAGAAAGAAGTAGTCACCCCTGTGCATCCTTTTTCCTTTAATAACTTTCTCTCTTGTGCCCAGATTTGAAGTCAGTTTGGAGTCTGTTAGAAGGAGATGAAAGCAATTGGCCGTGGAACCTAGAATATTAAGTGGTCTGGCAAGCATTTGGATTTCTCTCTCAGGAGGAAGGGAGAAACACGCCAAATCCTTACCCTGCTGAAAGACGGAGACTAACTGGGGTTGATTATGAAAACATTTCATGCCCATGAACACAAGTGTTTGTAAGAATTAGCACTGAACAAAGCCTTTCCCTCTGTGAACCCCTAGGTTTTGCAAGAGGGATTCAAAAAGCATATATTTAGGAATATGTGGAAAATGAATCTTACTTTTCTTCATTGCCAATAACTATTTAGCTTCTGCTTACTTCCTTTCCTTGGTAATGCCATTCCCGGTTCCTCAGTTCCTGTCAATTTCTATTAAGCATCAGTGTAGTCAAAGCAGAATTCCAAGTACAGTATGCAAATCAAAACTCATCTTTTAAAATGATGTGGAAAAAAAAATCAAGGGTACAAAACGGAGTGGAGTACGACCTGCTGACTACACATTAGTAGCAGGAGAGTCAGGCTGAGGGGCCTGATAGTGGCACACCAGTCATGCAGCACTCTGTGATGCTGGACCCATATGGAAAGGTCCAGGGTTCACATCCCAAGGCTTCCCTATAGACACTGTGCACACTGGCATGTTCCTGCAACTCAGGATGAGTGGAGATGGATTGTGGCATAAAAACCCTCTTGGGGGTCCTGTCTCTTTATCTCTGTCTCTAATTCTCTCTCTCACGGAAGAAACAAATGACTAAGTAAGCAAAAAAGGAATCCGACTGCTTGGGTTCAAATCCCAGCTTCAGTCACTTGCTTGTTGCATGGCCTCATTTGTTCAGCTTGCTTGCTTACATCTCTGCCTCTCTATTCCCTCATTTGTCAAATGGAACCAATCAACATAATAGGTAGATCTAATACTGAATTATATAAGGAACCCTACATAATAGGAGTATTTTAATGTTTAAATGGGAGCTCATGTGAATTAGTAAGTGCAGTACCTGGCCCTTGGTTAAGTGCTCAATAGAGTTTTATTTTTGTTGTTCTTGCTAATCTTTGTTATAAAAGTTTTCTCAATTGTAGGAAAATATGATTTTGAAAAATAAAACATTTTAATATCAATAAATTATTAGCCTATGAAGTAGCATACTGAAATATCAAAATGAAGAGAAATGAAATCTGAGAAGTTATAATATAATTAGCCCACTATATACTGTATAACCTCACAATTCAG